GTGGAGCTCATTCGTATGAAAACTGACTTTGTGAACACTTTGGCTCCACGGCGATTGGACTGTGTGCATAGGATCTGAGCGCTACTCGGTCCTTTGGTGCGCTCAGATCCTAGCTATCTGGGGACATGTTGAATGCCTGTAAAATGTTATAAAATGTACCAGTTATGTATTTTTATGTCTTTTGTTATTTTCATCTAAAATGGCGTTTAGGCTCTGTCCTGGTAGATAATTGAATTACTTCACAATTATCTCCCTGAGCAGAGCAGAGGGTTCTGGGTAAGAAAAGGGGAATGGCTAAGTGTGTACCCTGTGATTGGTTGCTACAATGTCTTTGTCACAGTCTTCCATCTGGTCCCCTAGGGGAGTGTCCACCAGGTGGGAGACCTGCATAAATACTGGGCAGGTAGCCCTCATTAAACCAGACCACTGCTTGACCCTCAACACGGAGCCTTGTCTCGTCTTTGGGGAGATTTACTGTATGCTGATAGAGACTGATTGCTAGGAGTGTAAACCACTTGGGTGCTTTTCCTATTTGTCTGCTAGCAGCTATTCGTGTGGTTCCAGTTCGGGAGGTTGGACTGCTATTTTGTATGCAGTTCGGGAGTTTAGAGCATTCCCTTATATGCGGTTTGGGAGTTTGGTGTTCTGCAGTAGCTGTGCCTGTATCTCTGGAAGGGGAGGATCTTCTAAACGGCGGTTTAACCCTTTTATGCCCGGCGTGCCGTTACAATTGGTGGCAAGCGGTGGGATCGTTCCTACAGCCAGAAGGACAACTACAGGAGACACCATTTCTTTGGATTTTACAAATTGAGGGCAACGTATGTCTTGAGTACAGCGACCCTGACAGCACCAGGATGGAACCAGCAGTGGAGTACAGATACTCTCTGAGAGAGTATGACCGTATGGTGTGGTTCTGGCTAAGCTTCTTCGGACCCGATCCACTGGAGAGATCTGTGCGGTTCGTGAGGAACTCAGTGTTCGCGACTCTGCTAGACAGGGCAGAGAGAGAGGGCCAGCTGGCACGTTGGGAGGAACTCCAGCAGCAGGTACAGTTACGGGAAGAGGGGAGCACAGTCTCCATTTCCCAGCGGCAGAGTGAAGTGCAGGGAATTGGGAGCCCAGTCTCCATTCCCCAGCGGCAGTGTGAGTTATTGGGAATTGGGAGCCCAGCCTCCATTCCACAGCGGCAGAGTGTCCTACAGGGAATAGAGAGCCCAGTCTCCTTTCCCCAGCAGCAGGACTCTGTATTGGGAGCAGAGACAGTCAGTCTCCCTCCCCCGCGGCTGGAAGTATATATGGGAGAGGAGCTTGTTACCCCCTATCCCCAGCGGCAGCTTACTGTACCAGGGGGGGACAGTAAACCCCACAAGCGTGCAGATGGGACCTTGGTCTTTGCACTTACAGCAGAGGGGGTAGGGACGATCGGTTCTGCCCCCCAGCGACAGGGCTGTTTAGCCAAAGGGGAGACAGTCGGTCTCCCCCTTCAGCAGCAGAGCTGTGTAACCAAAGGGGAGACAGTCGGTCTCCCCCTCCAGCAGCAGAGCTGTGTATCTAAAGGGGAGACAGTCGGTCTCCCCCTCCAACAACCAGGCTCCAACCAGGCTACTCCCGTGGTAGCGCTGGCACCAGGGCAGAGTACCGCTGGTCTCTGCCCACTCAGCAACCCACCAAGTCAGCTTGCCAGTCACCCACACAGCCGTGGTGAGGCACCTGGACATGGACAAAGTTCTCCTCTACCCAGGTGTAGTAACCATTTATTGTGGGTGGGCTGTATTACTGATTGTGTGTTGTGGGTGGGCTGCTGGACTAACAAGGGCACTGACCGGCAGGAGGCCAGATACCCTGTTAGTCTGTTTGGAAAAGGGGAGAGATGTGACGAGACCAATCTCCCACATTGCATTGGAGAAGCCAGGTTGCTCGCATGTTGCCTTTGGATTATGGCCCCATGTTAAAAGACTTCTTTTCGCCTGCAGAAAAGGCTTATTCGTGCCTGCTTGACCCTCAACACGAAGCCTTGTCTCGTCTTTGGGGGCATTTACTGTATGCTGATAGAGACTGATTGCTAGGAGTGTAAGCCGCTTGGGTGCTTTTCCTATTCGTCTGCTAGCAGCTATTCGTGTGGTTCCTGTTCGTGTGTTTGGAGTGCTATTTTGTATGCAGTTCGGGAGTTTAGAGCATTCCCTTATATGCGGTTCGGGTGTTTGGTGTTCTGCAGTAGCTGTGCCTGTATCTCTGGAAGGGGAAGATCTTCTAAACGGCGGTTTAACCCTTTTATGCCCGGGGTGCCGTTACATAGAATATGTGTAAAGGAGTCATTATCAGACTGGAGCAATTTAAATGGAGTCCAACAGAAATGGGATTATTTAAAAGTTGCACTACTGAAGGCAACAGAAAATTGCATTAGGCTTGTTAGTAAAAGCAAAAAAATTCAAGAAACCACTGTAGTACTCCGCAGATGTGGCCAAAATAGTAAAAAAACAAAAAGTTTGCATTTAGGAATTATAAAAAAAAAAACAGAATGAGGAAGACAAAATGATCTATAAGATTAGGCAGAAAGAGGCTAAGCAAGTTATAAGAGCTTCCAAATCACACACAGAAGAGAAAATAGCACAGTCAGTAAAAAAGGGGGATAAAACATTTTTTAGATACATAAATGAGAAAAGAAAAGTAAAACAAGCATTAGTTAGATTAAAAACAAAAGAAGGAAGGTATGTAGAAGAGGATAAAGGTCTAGCTGACTGCCTCAATTAATATTTTTGTTCTGTATTTACAGATGAAAATGATGGAAAGGGACCTCAGTTAAGAAAAGGATAAATGAGTCATTTATTACTCGTGAGTTTACAGAGGAAGAGGTTCTATTTCAACTGTCAAAAGTAAAGACAAATAAGTCAATGGGACCTGATGGAATACACCCAAAGCTATTAAAAGAGCTTACTGGTGTACTAGCAAAACCATTAACAGATTTATTTAACCAATCATTGTTAACAGGAGTAGTCCCAGAAGATTGGAAGTTAGCGAATGTTGTGCCCATTCACAAGAAAGGCAATAGGGAGGAGTCAGGCAACTATAGGCAACTATATTCATCAGTAACATTACATCATCAATAACATTACATCATCAATAACATTACATCAACTGTAACATTACATCATCTGTAACACTAGAAAAGCTACAATTTCTGGGGAAATTGTGTGAAGTGTTCTTGCCTCCACCAGTAGTCTACAACTGGAGTGGGCGGAGTAACTGTTATCATTTATATAGCACATTTAATTGCAACGTTGTTGCACAGTTACATTAAACCATACATTTATAAAAACATTAGCAGGTGTTCAAAAGGCCCTGTCTATGACATCACTTGCTGCTGCTGCAGCCTGGCACAGGTCAGAGTATTTTGGCGGTTGCCATCTTCAAACGGTCGTATTTTAAAAACTATAAATCCTACAGCGAAGAGCTTTATATTGTGAGAATCACAAGACCCAGACCTACATTTTGATGCATAGTATGTCTCTGAAGTATTAAAATTGAAGGCACAGTCGCAGTTTAGAAATTGCAGTTCAAATTTGAGCTTTGTAGAGTGAAGTTTCAATGAAAGTCAATGGACGGCGTTAGTTGCAAACAAATGATTATATTGTGAAAACTATCAGGACTATGGCTTAGCCGTTGACATGTTTAGTGGCAGCAGGGATAGCTGAACGTTTTGATATAAGATTTGTGTAGGTGGGCCTGAAAATAAGGGAGTGGTGGCAGTTTAGAAATCATGCCCTGATTTTTCAGCTTTTGCCAGCTCCCACTCTAGCTTTGCCATTCATTCCTATGGGACAAATTTCGCCACAAGAACGACGATATTCCGTGAACCATTCGGCGAAACGTTCCACAAAGTAATAGCAATCCGATCGGGAACAATCTGCACGTTTTGGTAAATTTTTGTCTATGTAGTGTAAAAACTGTGGGAGGAGGTAGGGTGGCAAATTTGGCTATAATAAGAATAAGACTAAGAATAATATATATGTGAGATAACAATAAGTGGTCTTGCTATGCAAGAACACTTAATTACATCATCAGTAACATTACATCATCAGTAACATTGCATCATCTGTAACATTGCGTCATCAGTAACATTGCATCATCAATAACATTGTATCATCAAATTACCCTGGCACTGTCCCTCCGTTGGGTGTTAAACAGTTTTAGAACAGTTTGACACTAAATAAGGGTCCTGGGCCACCCACAGTCCGCCCCTTTCTGTGGGTGTGGCTAAGGCAGAGATTGCACACTTCCTTGTTGTCATATCTATTCATGCCGTCAGTTGGAACTCCGATAGGTTAAAACTAGTCAGCTGACATTCTCAGCCAATCGCAACTGCCCATTACTGCTGAGGCTAATAGTTCCTCATTAGCCAAAGCAGCACAGAGGGGAGGGGCTGCTGGAAACTCTCATTCAGCATTAAAACATAAAAACATTGGAAACTTTTTAATGCTGAATGAAGTGACAGTTCCAGGGGAATCCAGACATTAAATGCAGACATATGCATGCCACCAGTGTCCCTTTAATCGTCAAGTTGTAAATGTTTAAATCAGAATGAGGGAAAGCACATAACCCAAAACTACAACTTGGGTTTAGCCAATAACCATCCATTCTGGGGAAAGTAACCGTTTTCTGAAGTTTCTTTTTACATCACTGCAGATAAAGTCATGAGAGCGTGATGGTTCTAGAACCTTGTCGGCTGGGAGTATAGAGGAGTATTGTGCTGCTAATTCAGGGGGCTATGGGCTCTTTGAATAACGTCTGCTATTATGATGGTCAGAAGCCTTGGGGTCTACTTTACTCTGGTGAGATTTACTCACTGAATGGAGAATTGTGAATATCTGTGACTGTAAGGTGGTTATCTAGTAAATCGATATATACATATATATAACTGTACTTTAATTATTTAACACATAGATACCTCTGAGAACAAGTGGACGGACGTCTCTACATCAGAAGAAACCTTTTGGGTAACCATGGCTGAAAATATTGAGGACAAAGTCAATAACCTTGATGTGCGACCCAAGAACAGTCGCAGTCGAAGTGCAGACAGAAAGGACGGCTATGTATGGAGTGGGAAGAAGCTCTCCTGGTCAAATAAGAGTGGACACTCATTAGATACAGACACTGAGATTGTTAATGACAAAAAAGATGGGTCTGCTAGGAGCCAAGAACGGAAATACAGCTGTTCCTCTATTGAACTAGATCTGGATCGCTCTTGTGGACATAAGTTATTAGGCCGGTCATTAAAGCAGAAACTGCAGGATGCTGTAGGACAGTGTTTTCCCATAAAGGCTTGTAGCAGCCGTTACTCATCTTCTTTGTCTTCCAAGAGGAAAATTCATATCAGTGAACTGATGCTGGACAAGTGTCCCTTCCCTCCAAAATCCGATCTGGCTTACAGGTGGCATTTAATTAAAAGACACACAGCTCCAGTAAATCAGTCACAAGAGGAGTGGGTGACTGGTGACCTTCCTCAGATCGATGGCAAGGAGATGCAAATCGGGGAGAGTGCCACAGATGAAAGAGGGGACACATTGTCAGTTGGGCATGCTTCCATGTGTGAAGTCAATGTAGATGTTGTAGAATCTGTAACAACAAGAGCCACGAGAATCATTAAAGAGGGTAGTGATGTTGAGTCAGATGATGAGGTTGTTACTCTTTGCACAAGTTCTAGAAAGAGAAACAAACCAAAATGGGAACCAGATGATGAGCCTTTTCATGCCGAAACACCCCCTAAATATCATACTCAGATCGATTATGTGCACTGCCTTGTTCCAGACCTCCTTCAGATCAATAATAATCCATGTTACTGGGGGGTAATGGATCGGTATGCTGCAGAGGCCCTCTTAGAAGGAAAGCCAGAGGGCACATTTTTACTGCGGGACTCTGCTCAAGAAGATTACTTGTTTTCCGTTAGTTTCAGACGTTACAGTCGCTCCCTACATGCTCGGATTGAACAGTGGAACCATAACTTTAGCTTTGATGCCCACGATCCATGTGTTTTTCACGCTCCCAATGTTACAGGCTTGCTGGAACATTACAAAGACCCCAGTTCGTGCATGTTTTTTGAACCCCTTTTATCGAGCCCTTTAAACAGAACTTTCACCTTTTCACTGCAGCATATATGCAGGACTGTTATTTGTAACTGTACTAGTTATGATGGAATAGACGCACTGCCCGTGCCATCATCCATGAAACTGTATTTGAAAGAATATCATTATAAATCAAAAGTGCGAGTCCGTAGGGTTGATGTACCGGAACATCAGAAGTGAGATAAGGATTTTCACTGTTATTGGGCACAAGATCATTAAATGCCTTCTTTCTACCCCTGTAAGTTCCTGAGTAGAGCAATGAATAATAATAAGGGGCCAGAGGTTAGAACTTACCTTCCCTGGCACAAATACGTGCCACAGATTGGTCAAAAAGCATTTTTTGTAACACCAACCATAAATGTGTCAATGTTTCCTTGTCGTAACAGACCTCCGAGCAGGTATAGCTGGTCGTTAGACCGTACAAACTGTATTAAAGAGAGGAGACTTTGTATCACGTGTTAAATCTCTCCTTACCACACACACTGTTAATTACTTCAGTGAGAATTGTTGGGAATTCAAGTGAATACAAATTCAAGGCCAAAGTACCTCAATTGGAAACATAACTGACTTGGAAAATGCTTGCAATTAGTCTATTTTGGGCTTTAACAAATAACCCTGTGAAACTTTACTATCACAGTCTGTGGGTATCACACTTGAAACCGTATGAAATACAGCCATTAAATGTGATGGATGGAATCGGCATTGGATATCGGCCTCCATCGAATAATCTTTCCAAATAATCAATAATGTTAGAAAAACATCCCAAATGATTTATCTGCGGGAGCCATTAGTAAAGTCTATGGGTTTATCTGCGGGAGCCATTAGTAAAGTCTATGGGTTTATCTGCGGGAGCCATTAGTAAAGTCTATGGGTTTATCTGCGGGAGCCATTAGTAAAGTCTATGGGTTTATCTGCGGGAGCCATTAGTAAAGTCTGTGGGTTTATCTGCGGGAGCCATTAGTAAAGTCTGTGGGTTTATCTGCGGGAGCCATTAGTAAAGTCTATGGGTTTATCTGCGGGAGCCATTAGTAAAGTCTGTGGGTTTATCTGCGGGAGCCATTAGTAAAGTCTGTGGGTTTATCTGCGGGAGCCATTAGTAAAGTCTATGGGTTTATCTGCGGGAGCCATTAGTAAAGTCTATGGGTTTATCTGCGGGAGCCATTAGTAAAGTCTGTGGGTTTATCTGCGGGAGCCATTAGTAAAGTCTATGGGTTTATCTGCGGGAGCCATTAGTAAAGTCTATGGGTTTATCTGCGGGAGCCATTAGTAAAGTCTATGGGTTTATCTGCGGGAGCCATTAGTAAAGTCTATGGGTTTATCTGCGGGAGCCATTAGTAAAGTCTATGGGTTTATCTGCGGGAGCCATTAGTAAAGTCTGTGGGTTTATCTGCGGGAGCCATTAGTAAAGTCTATGGGTTTATCTGCGGGAGCCATTAGTAAAGTCTATGGGTTTATCTGCGGGAGCCATTAGTAAAGTCTATGGGTTTATCTGCGGGAGCCATTAGTAAAGTCTATGGGTTTATCTGCGGGAGCCATTAGTAAAGTCTGTGGGTTTATCTGCGGGAGCCATTAGTAAAGTCTATGGGTTTATCTGCGGGAGCCATTAGTAAAGTCTGTGGGTTTATCTGCGGGAGCCATTAGTAAAGTCTGTGGGTTTATCTGCGGGAGCCATTAGTAAAGTCTGTGGGTTTATCTGCGGGAGCCATTAGTAAAGTCTGTGGGTTTATCTGCGGGAGCCATTAGTAAAGTCTATGGGTTTATCTGCGGGAGCCATTAGTAAAGTCTATGGGTTTATCTGCGGGAGCCATTAGTAAAGTCTATGGGTTTATCTGCGGGAGCCATTAGTAAAGTCTGTGGGTTTATCTGCGGGAGCCATTAGTAAAGTCTATGGGTTTATCGGCAGGAGCCATTAGTAAAGTCTGTGGGTTTATCTGCGGGAGCCATTAGTAAAGTCTATGGGTTTATCTGCGGGAGCCATTAGTAAAGTCTATGGGTTTATCTGCGGGAGCCATTAGTAAAGTCTGTGGGTTTATCTGCAGGAGTCATTAGTAAAGTCTGTGAGAACTGCTGTAGATAAATCACTTGGAGAGTTTTCTAAGAGTATTGAACCGTTTGGAAAAATTTAATAGATTTTCAATCGAGATTTAATGCATATGAGGATTTCAGGCTGAGTGCGGAACCAGGGACCCAGCCATAATCTATCCTATTGGAAGTTTGTGGATTATAGCCATAGATACATAGAGGGGTCTGTATGCCCCCACAGTCCCTGGTTTGGTGAATTGGTTCCTCTGTCTTGAATTTGTTCCCTGATGTCCTCCTTCTGGAGAAGGAATTGTCCCATGTAAGCGTAGAGTTCTCTCAGAGCTTTCAGCCGTGCTGTGCGTTAAAATCAGCCCTAAGTTTGGCTGGGCAGGGGGACTAAATGACAGCGTGACTCTCATTCACTGCAGGCTGACTGTCCCCATCTTTCCATCATGGTACCACACATTCACTCCAGGCTGACTGTCTCCATCTTTCCATCACGTTTCCACGCATTCACTCCAGGCTGACTGTCCCCATCTTTCCATCACGGTTCCACGCATTCACTCCAGGCTGACTATTTCCATCTTTCCATCATGGTTCCCGCATTCACTCCAGGCTGACTGTCCCCATCTTTCCATCACGGTACCACACATTCACTCCAGGCTGACTATTTCCATCTTTCCATCATGGTTCCCGCATTCACTCCAGGCTGACTGTCCCCATCTTTCCATCACGGTTCCACGCATTCACTCCAGGCTGACTGTCCCCATCTTTTCATCATATTCCACGCATTCACTCCAGGCCGACTGTCCCCATCTTTCTATCACAGTACCACGCATTCCCTCCAGGCTGACTGTCCCCATCTTTCCATCACGGTTCCACGCATTCACTCCAGGCTGACTGTCCCCATCTTTCCATCACGGTTCCACGCATTCACTCCAGGCTGACTATTTCCATCTTTCCATCATTGTTCCCGCATTCACTCCAGGCTGACTGTCCCCATCTTTCCATCACGGTGCCACACATTCACTCCAGGCTGACTGTCCCATCATTTCCATCACGTTTCCGCATTCACTCCAGGCTGACTGTCTCCATCTTTCCATCCGCGGTTCCGCATTCACTCCAGGCTGACTGTCCCCATCTTTCCATCCGGTTCCGCATTCACTCCAGGCTGACTGTCCCCATCTTTCCATCAGGTTCCAGCATTCCTCCAGGCTGACTATTTCCATCTTTTCCATCATGGTTCCGCATTCACTCCAGGCTGACTGTCCCCATCACTTTCCATCAACGGTACCACACATTCACTCCAGGCTGACTGTCCCCATCTTTCCATCCACGTTTCTGCGCATTCACTCCAGGCTGACTGTCCCCATCTTTCCATCCGGTTCCGCATTCCTCCAGGCTGACTGGCCCCATCTTTCCATCACATTTCCCACAGACTACTCCCGGGCTGGCTGCCTATTTTCCATCATGGTTCCGCACATTCCCCTCCCAGACTGACTGTCCCCATCTTATCCGCGGTTCCACGCATTCCCTCAGGCTGGCTGTCCCCATCTTTCCATCCATTCCACACATTCCTCCAGGCTGACTGTCCCCATCTTTTTCATCCGCGGTACTGCGCATTCCTCCCAGGCTAACGGTTCCACGCATTCACTCCAGGCTGACTGTCCCCATCTTTCCATCACGGTTCCACGCATTCACTCCAGACTGACTGTCCCCATCTTTTCATTACGGTTCCACGCATTCACTCCAGGCTGACTGTCCCCATCTTTCCATCACGGTTCCACGCATTCACTCCAGACTGACTGTCCCCATCTTTTCATTACGGTTCCACGCATTCACTCCAGGCTGACTGTCCCCATCTTTCCATCACGGTTCCACGCATTCACTCCAGACTGACTGTCCCCATCTTTTCATTACGGTTCCACGCATTCACTCCAGGCTGACTGTCCCCATCTTTCCATCACGGTTCCACGCATTCACTCCAGACTGACTGTCCCCATCTTTTCATTACGGTTCCACGCATTCACTCCAGGCTGACTGTCCCCATCTTTCCATCATGGTTCCCGCATTCACTCCAGACTGACTGTCCCCATCTTTCCGTAAAAAAATGAAAAACCAGTGCCCTCCCTATCTACTAAACAGCTACTTTGGTGCTGACAGATTTTATAAGTTTTATTAAAAACACCTAATCTAAAATAATGGGGTTTAGTTGCATTATATGATCATACGTTGCATAAGCTTGCCACAACGTCAATGTACCCCATATTCGGCAGGTCCTACTCTAACTGCCTAATGTCTGCTAAATGAACTACTCACTTGGAAATCCTCTCAAGTTCTCTACAGTACAAGGCCAAATAGGATCCTTGGATGAGGCACCTGTGACAGGGAGGGGTGCAGAACCAGGGTGCTGGCTAGACTCCTATATATACATATATGAAAAAACAGGGTGTTCATTGCACTCAACCTAACATGCTTAAAATGGGGTGCCGCTGGGGGGAGCCAAATTCACTCCAGGCTGGCCGTCCCCATCTTTCCATCATGGTTCCACACATTCACTCCAGGCTGACTATTCCCATCTTTCCATCACGGTTCCACATATTCACTCCAGGCTGGCCATCCCCATCTTTCCATCACGGTTCCACACATTCACTCCAGGCTGACCTTCCACATCTTTCCATCATGGTTCCCGCATTCACTCCAGGCTGACCGTCCACATCTTTCCATCATGGTTCTCGCATTCACTACAGGGCTGACCAGCCCCATCTTTCCATCACGGTTCCACACATTCACTCCAGGCTGACCTTCCACATCTTTCCATCATGGTTCCCGCATTCACTCCAGGCTGACCGTCCACATCTTTCCATCATGGTTCTCGCATTCACTACAGGGCTGACCAGCCCCATCTTTCCATCACGGTTCCACACATTCACTCCAGGCTGACCTTCCACATCTTTCCATCATGGTTCCCGCATTCACTCCAGGCTGACCGTCCACATCTTTCAATCATGGTTCCCGCATTCACTCCAGGCTGACCATCCCCATCTTTTCATCACAGTACCACACATTCACTCCAGGCTGACTGTCCCCATCTTTTCATCACGGTACCACGCATTCACTCCAGGCTGTCTCTTCCCATCTTTTCATCACGGTACCACGCATTCACTAAAGGCTGACTGTCCCCATCTTTTCATCACGGTACCACGCATTCACTCCAGGCTGACTGTCCCCATCTTTCCATCACGGTTCCACCCACCTCTCTCTGAGCGAACTGTATCCCAGTGTTAGAAGTTATTTCTCTGTTTACGCTCTCTCAGGTTCTGGGAACAAATATATTTAGTAACACATGGACACTTCTATATCAGGCCAAGTGGTGGGCACAGTGTAAACTCATGGTGAAAACACATTTCTCTGCTTGGACCCTCTTCGCCGGTCTGGCCTTTTCAAATTTCTCAGTGGGGGTCTAACTAACCGCTATCCGACTGGAATATGCAGTCCAGCACTTGTCAGTAGTTTAATTTTTGATCAGGCTAATGAATGAACGCTTGTGCCTGCTGGCAGAACCTGGATGAGCTTGGGTTCCACCTCCGTTACATAAAAAGAGATGGCTGGGATTGGCTGACTGGATTCAGCTACTTCCTAGTGTGGGCCGAGCGGCAAATACAGGACCTTCCGCAAAGTATCTTTATCTGTGTTGGATTTGCATTCATATGTAATGTAAACCCTATTAAAATAGATACGGCCAGAGGACCTAGCATGAAAATCCTGTTACATCCGATGTCTAACAGGAAACATTGTCCGATAGATAGATTGATACAAAATGTTTCAGAATTCAGGACAAAAGTACGTTCCAGCTGGTGGATGGCCGTGTCAGACCATGATGTAGAGACAGGTTTTAGTTACGGTGGCCAATTCTGACATTTTACTGTTATCATGTTGTCCTGCAAGATGTATGTAATGGCTACCCCAGTTGGTGAGGGGGTATCAGCCGTTGGAGACATCATTCTTCCCGGCAAGATGCTGTGCAGTAGTGGAGTTGCTTTATCCCATCCGCTGGATCCAAGTAGAGAGTAAGGCAGAGCTCTTAAAAGAGCTAGTGATTAAGATGAACAAGTTCCCTTGTAATAACGAGACAAGGCTACCTTTTGAAGGGTGAAGAAGAACTGTACTTTTAATGACAGGTACTCTCCTTTTATGCAGACAATTATACAGTGACCAATCAAACAATGGTTACAACCCACATATTCCCTCCCCTCTGCTTGGTAGATAATTGAGTTACTTACTGTATCTACTTAATTATCTCCAAGCTAAAAAATTATACTTTTTATACATTTTTATAACTTTCTAATTTTACATCGTACAGGAATAAAGTTATATTTTTATGAACAGCAAAACTTGGGGACAAACATATCCAAAATTTGTGTTACTCAGTTCGGTAGTTCAGGAGATAGTAAAAAGTCTCTTTGGACCGGCCACACGCCTGTGTGTATGCCCAAAACAGTTCCACAGATCCAGACTGTGGGGTCGGTCTATTCTTTCATCCGACGAACGTCCCACTTTGCATGAACTGATTGATTCGTGCTTAGTCTCTTTAGATACAGCTAGTTCGTGAGTTTATATTGTCTAAAGAGCGCTCTGTTCAGATGAATTTAGCCGAACGCATGGAGGATGGAAGTTTCAGCGTGTTCGTGGAAAAGTCTGGCCGAAAATAGTTCCACGCGGTCGACGACCAAACACCGCTGAGTGCGTTCGACTAAACAAAATAGCCGCCACCACGTGTTTGTGCAAACGAACGCCGACCACCCTGTATAACAATTAAATCCATGGAGTGTTTGAGGTTTTCACGGTGATATTAGAGTCAGGGAGGTAAATGAGAGCCACACTTCTGTTCTGGGTGGTCGGGCGTTCGGTAAATAATTTGGTATATTAAAAACTCCCCTTTTTGAAATGGACAGTACGTACGGTATCCCTCATTCTTACAATCAGGGGGTGCAGGGGACCCCAGTCCCGGTTTCCTGCCTCGGTCAGAACTTTGTATGAGTGTGGGTCAACTTGTTAGGTCATATCTCTGTATAACCTGTCACTAAAACAAAACCTTTTTACCTCATTTTTTTAAACAAGTATTTTTTTCAAAAAGTACAATTTTCTCTGAGTGCACCCCCTAATGTAATGTGCTATGCACACCAATGATTGTAACACTTCCGCTTTCCAAGTGCATTTCCAAAGAAGCACAGTTTTTATCAGTCTTCCCGTAATAATCACTGCCGGCTGTATACAGTTACAGTGTGGGACATGTAGAATATTAAAGGGATGCTATAGTCACCAAAACAACTTTAGCTTAATGAAGCAGTTTTGGTGTATAGATTATGCCCCTGCAGTCTCACTGCTCAATTTCTCTGCCATTTAAATCACTATTGTTTCTGTTTGTGCATTCTAATCACAGCTCCCCTGGATATGACTGACACAGCCTGCATGATAGCAATGGTTTAAGTTTCAATCAGGTGTTAACCTGTTTTAAAAGTTTATTTTATCTCCTACTCCTAAATTAAACAGAATTTGCAATAAAGGAAGTTTAAACATTAGATGGCTCTTTACAGGAAGTGTTTAGGAAGGCTGTGTCAGTCACATGCAGGGAGGTGTGACTAAGGCTAAATAAACAAAGTGATTTAACTCCTAAATGGCAGAGAATTGAGCATTGAAACAACAGGAGCATGAGCTATGCACCAAAACTGCTTCATTAAGCTAAAGTTGTTTTTGTGACTATAGTGTCCCTTTAAGTTTCATTCTGTGTCTATTTTTATAATACACAGCCAGACTAGCCAACACAGCAATACATCTCCTGCTCACAGCCAGACTAGCCAACACAGCAATACATCTCCTGCTCGCAGCCAGACTGGCCAACACAGCAATACATCTCCTGCTCGCAGTCAGACTAGCCAACACAGCAATACATCTCCTTCTCGCAGCCACACTAGCCAACACAGCAATACATCTCCTGCTCGCAGTCAGACTAGCCAACACAGCAATACATCTCCTGCTCGCAGCCAGACTAGCCAACACAACAATACATCTCCTGCTCGCAGCCACACTAGCCAACACAGCAATACATCTCCTGCTCGCAGCCAGACTAGCCAACACAGCAATACATCTCCTGCTCGCAGCCAGACTAGCCAACACAGCAATACATCTCCTGCTCGCAGCCAGACTAGCCAACACAGCAATACATCTCCTTCTCACAGCCAGACTAGCCAACACAGCAATACATCTCCTGCTCACAGCCAGACTAGCCAACACAGCAATACATCTCCTGCTCGCAGCCAGACTAGCCAACACAGCAATACATCTCCTGCTCGCAGTCAGACTAGCCAACACAGCAATACATCTCCTTCTCGCAGCCACACTAGCCAACACAGCAATACACATCATCTCCCTGCGCTGGCCAGACTAGCCAACACAGCAATGCATCTCCTGCTGCATGACCAGACTAGCCAACCGCAGCAATACATCTCCTGCTCGCAGCCAGACTAGCCAACACAGCAATACATCTCCTGCTCGCAGCCAGACTAGCCAACACAGCAATACATCTCCTGCTTGCAGCCAGACTAGCCAACACAGCAATACATCTCCTTCTCACAGCCAGACTAGCCAACACAGCAATACATCTCCTGCTCACAGCCAGACTAGCCAACACAGCAATACATCTCCTGCTCGCAGCCAGACTAGCCAACACAGCAATACATCTCCTGCTCGCAGTCAGACTAGCCAACACAGCAATACATCTCCTGCTCGCAGCCAGACTAGCCAACACAGCAATACATCTCCTTCTCACAGCCAGACTGGCCAACACAGCAATACATCTCCTTCTCGCAGCCACACTAGCCAACACAGCAATACATCTCCTGCTCACAGCCTGACTAGCCAACACAGCAATACATCTCCTGCTCGCAGCCCAACACAGCAATACATCTCCTGCTCGCAGCCAGACTAGCCAACACAGCAATACATCTCCTACTCGCAGCCAGACTAGCCAACACAGCAATACATCCCTTTGTCCCTTTAATAATGGGTAAATGTGAACATGTTAGGACATGTCGGACAGATTGCGATGAGATGGTCTGGGTGTCTATAGTGTCCCTTTAATAATGGGTAAATGTGAACATGTTAGGACATGTCGGACAGATTGCGATTAGATGATCTGGGTGCCTATAGTGTCCCTTTAATAATGGGTAAATGTGAACATGTTAGGACATGTCGGACAGATTGCGATGAGATGGTCTGAGTGTCTATAGTGTCCCTTTAATAATGGGTAAATGGGAACATGTTAGGACATGTCGAACAGGTTGCGATGAGATGGACTGGGTGTCTATAGTGTCCCTTTAATAATGGGTAAATGTGAACATGTTAGGACATGTCGGACAGATTGCGATGAGATGGTCTGAGTGCCTATAGTGTCCCTTTAATAATGGGTAAATGTGAACATGTTAGGACATGTCGGACAGATTGCGATGAGATGGTCTGAGTGTCTATAGTGTCCCTTTAATAATGGGTAAATGGGAACATGTTAGGACATGTCGGACAGATTGCGATGAGATGGTCTGGGTGCCTATAGTGTCCCTTTAATGATGGGTAAATGGGAACATGTTAGGACATGTCGGACAGATTGCGATGAGATGATCTGGGTGCCTATAGTGTCCCTTTAATAATGGGTAAATGTGAACATGTTAGGACATGTCGGACAGGTTGCGATGAGATGGTCTGAGTGTCTATAGTGTCCCTTTAATAATGGGTAAATGTGAACATGTTAGGACATGTCGGACAGGTTGCGATGAGATGGTCTGGGTGTCTATAGTGTCCCTTTAATAATGGGTAAATGTGAACATGTTAGGACATGTCGGACAGATTGCGATGAGATGGTCTGGGTGCCTATAGTGTCCCTTTAATGATGGGTAAATGGGAACATTTTATGACATGTCGGACAGATTGCGATGAGATGGTCTCGATGTCTGTAGTGTCCCTTTAATGATGGGTAAATGGGAACATTTTATGACATGTCGGACAGATTGCGATGAGATGGTCTCGATGTCTGTAGTGTCTCTTTAATAATGGGTAAATGGGAACATGTTAGGACATGTCGGAACAGATTGCGATGAGATGGTCTGAGTGTCTATAGTGTCCCTTTAATAATGGGTAAATGGGAACATGTTAGGACATGTCGGACAGATTGCGATGAGATGGTCTCGGTGTCTATAGTGTCCCTTTAATAATGGGTAAATGGGAACATGTTAGGACATGTCGGACAGATTGCGATGAGATGGTCTCGGTCTCTATAGTGTCCCTTTAATAATGGGTAAATGGGAACATGTTAGGACATGTCAGACAGATTGCACTGAGATGGTCTGGGTGCCTATAGTGTCCCTTTAATAATGGGTAAATGGGAACATGTTAGGACATGTCAGACAGATTGCGATGAAACAATCCCGCTGGATGTCTGTTTAGAATCAATGGCAAGATGGATCAGGAGTGACTAGTGAGAATGGTCATAGATTCCAAATGCGAGTCACTGTTAATGGCTCAGTTCATACAGTGTCCATCTGGATCTAATTAAAGCAAAAAGGGAAATAAAATGAGGTAGCGTTTGTCTACACGGAAGATCTACAAACCCTGTCGCACTTCAATGAGACAACTCGCAGCTCATCCCATGTTATCTCAAGTCAGAGTGTCAGGAAGGATTGTGTATAAATACTCTGCATATAGTGCACTAGTTACAATATAAAAGTAAAACATTTTGAAATTTGTCTTTAATGTTTTTTACTGCTATGGCAAGCTGTGAGAGACACATGTAACATCATAGCTGTGTTCTGATTGGTTGCTTGGTGCTTTCAGCCAATCAGAAAACACCTGCAATTCAACTCATGGTTTGTGGCTAGAAAGTACACGGATAAT